CAAGTTGATTGTTGAATTCATTCATAAATATAGATAGTTGGGAAAATGTTGGCCTTTCATTAGGGGCTAGTGCCCAGCAGCATGCCATCACGGTGAACAGTTCATCAGGACAGTTGACTGGCTGAGTTAGTCTAAATCCATCTTGAAGGTAAGCTGACATTTCAAATGGATCAATGTCGGCATATGGTTGCTGGCATAAAGTCAAGAGTTCCCAGAGTAGGACTCCAAATGACCAAATATCAGAGGCAGTACTAAATTTCTTATGCTCTAAACTTTCGACGGCCATCCACTTAATAGGCCTGTTTTTGTTATCTCCTAGACAATGATAGTCACTGGGAAATAGATCTCTTGATAGAGCGTTATCAGCTATCTGAATTTTCAATTCTTGGTTGACGAGACAATTTCTCGCTGCAACATCTTTGTGTAGATGTCTGTTTTTATGTAAATATTGCATACCAGTTATTATTTGTAGTGTCATGTCAATTATTTCTCTAGTAGTTAAAGTGTATGAAATGCTTTCAGAAGTCTTACAGTTTTGTAAAAATTTCTTTAAATTTTTATTATTGTTGTATGGATACAAAAGAAAAGGTTCTATGTGTTGTTCAACGGACACAGCTTGAATTGTTAATATATTTTTATGATTAAGTCCGTACATACTCAGTCCTTCATGTAATAGCACAGATATTTGTACAGCACTTGCTTGATCGGTTACAGTCTTGACAAATACATCTTCATCTTTTCCATTCACATCTGTGTACAAGCCTTTGTATACTCGTCCAAACGTACCTTCTAGTTCAATGCTTTGTAATCTAATCCGTTGCCTCTGTACACTTAGCTCTACAATACATTCATGTAAATCTTTTACTTTGGTTTTTGACCCAGGTAATGATTTTTGGTTGAACTTATTGCTTGAATTTAGTGCCGATTTTAAAAACATATTTACTTCGTTGTTCTGAAAACCTTTAATTATCATGAGATCTCGGGCTTTATCACGGTGATAAGTGGTGGCTAAGCAACAAATTATAGCTAGAGCTACTAACGAGGATGCAGCAGCTATCATATGGTAAAAAAATGATGGTTCGTAGTAAGGTGGTATGGAAGAGTCTTTTTCAGGAACAATTGTAGTTTCATCGGGATGTTGATCAACACAAAATTTTTTGAACACAAGGTTGACATCCATAACATCATTTGGCCAGTTTTCCGACATTTTGATTGACAGACTTACATCAGCATTGCCAGACTTCACAGCACAAGGCAAAGATACAGAGAATASAGATGGCATATCAGGCACACTACCTTCTTGAGCCATATTGAGTTTTGGTACCACAATATCCTTGTCAGCCTGTATAGATATTTTGTACAACAAATTACTCTTGGAGCTCCATGTGAAATTTAAATTGTTGACGAACGACGGTACTTCCAAGGCATATTGCACGGCATTGACATTGATTTGGCCACCGCGCACATAGTACAGTCGAGCAGCCAAGCCAATCAACGGTTCCACGTCATTGGCATCGAAATACAGATCAAATTGTTTGCAATTGACGATGGTCAGCAACAGTGGCAGTATCAGTAGGTGTTCCATATTATTCGACTTCCGTTTATTGAGCGGTCACGGAGACCATACAAATGTAGTAGACATTAGGAASTATGGTGAACTGTAATTTACCTCGTTTGRGCGTAACGAGTACGTTGTGGAGACGTGTGAGTGATTCCATCGCAGTTTTTCACATTACAAAAATCAATAACAAAACCATATTTCAAAAATAATAATAAAAAAAAAAATACTAATTATAATGCTGTTACGGCCGTTGAGAGTGTTGGTGTGTTGCGATTATCGCAAACGACGGAAGTGCATTCACATTTCACACTGTAAACAAAAACAAATTACTGACAAATGTTTGATAGCATCCGAACAGTCTGTCCACATTMGACAAAAACTTGCCCTTCCCTACCGTGTGCAATTATAGAATTAAAGATATTAAATTCAAAATTGGTACAACTTCTTTACTTCGATTAYTACCACGATTTAAGATATACCTTAAATCGTGATTATTACAATTATGAATTATTATCATACTCGACATACTCTGGGAGAACTAGTTTGTTCCCATCCAAGACRTCGTCCTCCCACCGGCTGATCTCTGTTATCAATCCAACGTTATCATTAACTAAGTGGACACGAGACACGACACTGCCCAGTGCCCACTGAGTACTGACCAACTTATGCACTGACTGCTAAGTGCTAAGAGTCGACAGCCTCAGTGCCCCTATTTAGTATTTTGTGTCACTGAACACTGAGATTTGAGACTCTGAAGTACCTGACATTCGGCAGTCACATCTGTATTTGTATTTGTATTTTGTGCCAACAGTCCAGTGATTATAGGTATTACATTATCATAATCACTTCTTGTACACTTGATGTAAATCATAAATACAATTTTCATTTGAATCTTCAAAAAAACGTTGATTTTATATTTAAAGAATTATGAATCAACGAATTGTAAGTAAAAACTATATCACTTGTATTCAATCAGAAAAGAAATTCTTAATATTTCCATAAAACTAATTTTTTAGGTTTTATCGAGTGTTCTGAGAAAAATTTATTAGTGATTCCACATTGTAATAAGTCACAAAACAGACAAAGTAAAATTCTATATTATTAGAAATTTCTATAATTTTTATCATTATGATAAAAATGTAAATAGGTGGTCCGGTAGTTGTCTTTAAGTACCTAGTAATAGTTTTTTATTTTTTAACTTAAAATATTATGAATGTTCCACTGCATCTAATGATAGATGACAAAATGAGATGAGCACTTTACTTTACTGTTGTAGTTTTATATGTAATAAGTATATGGGACTTCTTACAAGTTGTCTAAAATTAAGAAATTTGAAAAGCAAGAATATTTAATTAAAATATAAGTAGGTACCTATTTATGTTTTATTTGTTAGAAGATAAACATCTTAAATTCTCCTAAAGAAACTTAGTTTTTACCATGACAAATAAGATCTTATTTGCCATGGTTTCTATCTTGTTGGATGTATTAGGATTTTTATTTTTTTTCTATAAAAATATTTGCAGAAAATATAGTTATTAAGCATAAAAATATTTTGAATAGAATTGATAAAATTATTTAGTTTTTATTCTATTAGAAAATGTACTTTCTAAAAAGGAAATACCTACTATTATTTCAGCCTATAATGAATAATATTTTTCGATTTTAAAAAAGTGATCAATATTTAAGGCTGATTTCACCAAGTGTGTTAATGACAGTTAATAGACCTTGATCACGATTGCTAACCTAAAATTTTAGATTTTTCTAAGTTCAGTTAAGTTTAACTACTGTGTAATCCTTATTTCAAATTAATTTTTAACCATAATTACTATAATTGTGATTAGAGCATTTTTTTTGTGAAATCGGCCATAAGTTATTATACTGTTAAAAGTTTATTTTATCATCCTTGAAAATAATTTTCTGATTTTGTGATTATTTAATTTAAGTTACCAATCATATAAAGTATGCATTTATAATATATTATAYCTACCAATAAAAGCTTAATTTGGGCATATAGATGCGATGGAGGTATTTATGTCATGCAATAAGGAAGTATTCAAAAGATGTCAACAGATTTCAAGTCAGCATTGTAGGTGCTGGGCCTGCAGGGTTTTATTGTGCACAACAATTACTAAAAGTAATATTAAACTCTTATTAATTTTTGAACATATTTTTAAAAACTCATCTCATTTTAGAAAATACCTGGCTGCCAGATTGATATATATGAAAGATTACCAGTTCCATTTGGTCTTGTACGTTATGGTGTAGCTCCTGATCATCCAGAAGTAAAAAATGTTATAAACACATTTTCTAAAACTGCATCAGACAAAAATGTTCGATTTATTGGCAATGTCTCACTTGGCTCTCATATTACTCTGGCCCAACTTAAACATTCCTATAATGCCATAGTATTAGTATGTTTCAATATGTTAAGTCATATGACAGCTAAATAATACATTTATATTTTATATATTACTAATATATAGTCTTTATTATTTCTTTAGGCTTATGGTGCTGATGAAGACAGAAAATTAAACATTTCTGGTGAAAATTTATCCAATGTTGTATCGGCTACAAAATTTATAGGATGGTATAACGGTTTACCAGTAGATAAAAATATTAAAGTAGATTTGGACGTTCAACATGCTGTTATTATAGGACAAGGAAATGTTGCTTTGGATGTTGCTAGAATATTATTAACACCTGTCGATAAACTTAGAGTTGGTATAGTTAATGTTTTTTACTATAATCTACAATTATAAAAATTCAATATTGTTTTTATTTTTCAGAACACAGACATCACAGAATATAGTTTAGAAGCTTTGGCWAAAAGTAAAGTGAAAAAAGTTACTCTGGTCGGCCGAAGAGGTCCTTTGCAAGTAGCATTTACAATTAAAGAATTAAGAGAAATGTTGAAATTACCTGGAGTAAGCACACATTTTTTTAAAGATCAAATGAATGATATAGATAAAGTCATTAGCGGTAATTTATTGTATATATATATATATATTTTTTAATAAATTAAAAAGTCCTTATTTTATGTTGATAAATACAATTATAGATTTACCAAGACCTCGTAAACGGTTAATACAACTCATGCATGATGCATCACAAAAAACAGAAGTTCTAGATAAATTGTTTGATATATTGTTCCTGCGAACACCTATCTCAATATTAGGTAGAACAAAGATAGAAGGAATTGAACTGGCTGTAAATCAATTAGAAGGTGCATAAGTTGTAACTTATGGAAACTAATRGATGTTAAACAACTTTTGACAAATAAATATTTTTTTAGGAGAAAGAGCCGTAGTTACAGATGAAAAGTATACACTAAAATGTGATTTGGCTTTTCGCAGTATTGGATATCRGAGTGTCCAAGCAGATCCTGATGTACCTTTTGATAAAATGTCTTCAACAGTACCTCAAAGTATAGGTATAGTGATTAATTTTATTATTTTTATTATATAATATTATTCAACATGTTTTACTTTCAAAGGTGTTTATAGTGTTGGTTGGTTGTCTTTGGGACCCGTGGGAGTGATATTATCGACTATGAGTAATGCTTTTCAAGCAGCTTCTTTAATCGGTCAACATTTTGATGAAGGCTTACTTAGTGAACGAAAGCCAGGGTTTAATTATATTTCAAAAGTATTAGAAGATAAAGGTATCATTATATTAGTTACTAGTTAGAGCAGCGGTTCTCAAACTGTGCTCCACAAAACCCTAGAGTTCCGCGAGAGTAGTCTTGGGCTTCTGTGGCTCCCTGGGCATAACTGTATTTATTAAATTAAAATTATTAAGTTATTATTATATTTCTTACAGCGTTTTCCACCACTATTGYACCAAGGTGAAACTGGTACAGTTCATTGATAATCGCCCCAACACGGGCTGGTGCAAATATAGATGAAACATAAAATCTATACTTATTACTGATATATAAAGATAATAAAATATTTAATGGGTATTGCAGTACTTATCATGATAATGATAATGCGCACGAGCTTCAAGAACTCGTGCGATTATCTTTGCACTGAGTGCAAAAAACTGACATAGTGCATTTAGGTGAAACATAAAAAAGTCCACTCAGTGCACATAAATTTTGCAGATGGAACATAAAAATATGCACTGTTGCAGTCAGTTCAGTGTGGTGGAAAACGCTATTAGTTATATTTTTATTCAATAATAATTTTATTATTTGGACCAAACCAATATTATGAATTATTGATATTTCAAATAGACGCTTCTGATTTTTGGGGCTCTCTAATTTTTTTTAAGGAATATAAGGGCTCTGAAAACTAAATAGTTTGAGAACCACTGAGTTAGAGTATATTTTTTGAATAGTCAATAGAAAAACAAACAAATTTTATCCAAATATTTTTTCAGGCATAATTACTGTCGATTGGAATGGATGGACGAAAATTGACCAARTTGAAGTGGATAGAGGAATAAAACGTGGTAAACCTAGAGAAAAAATTGTTGATATTGATGAAATGTTACAAATTGGAGGAATACAAAAATAATATTTTGGAATCTTAATCTAAATCTAATATTAGAAATGTTTAGATAAATGAATTATATAAATGCTACAAAATATAAAAATAAAACTTTGAATAAGTGATAAGTATAATATATTTAGGTAAAATGAATTACTTTTTAGTTGTTAATTTTTTTTTTTACTAATTTCACTGTGTATTGATTTGTATTTGATTTTAAATGTTATTATATAAATGTATTTTTAAAATGTTATTATTAATATTGTTAGTTTAAAAAGCTTGGTTTATTTTTAATTTTCTCATAAACTTACAATTTTGTTAATTTAAAACAAGTTAAATTTGTAGTATTTTACAACATTATTGATTATTATTAAGATTTAKAGTAGAGTGGTAAATGTATTGGTTTTACAATCAGAAGAGGACTGGTCCACTGGGACATCGAGAAATTTCCAAAAAAATTTGGCCAGTGCCTAATGTGGCCTGAGGTCGTTGTTGCCAAAATTAAATAAAAAATAAAATTATACAATATTAAACAAATATTATTCTCAATATGCACATTGATGGTAAATTTAGTGTGAAAATACTGTCAGCCAAAATACAGCTCTGGTGAATTGTGGATATGTTACATACAAAGTCTAGAATTGTAGGTATGTTTTGTAATGTGTTTAGTGATTTTCGTATACATAGAAAATTGTACAATGTTGCTGTATAATAAAGTTACTTTGTACAGCAATATTATACAGTAACATCAAACATGTAATTTTATAATAATATTTTTTGTTTGTAAAAAACTAAATCATGGTTAAAATACAGTTTTTGGAAAATGTTTTTTATTATTTTTTTAGTATAATTTTATTTTTATTTTTTTTAGAATTACGTTATTCTATAATATAAAAATATTCATATTGTTCTTACATTTTGCATTTTTGCCATGTGTACAGCGATCATTGTACACATTGCAAAACCTACAATTCTGGACTTTGTATGTAACATATATACTATAATAATATGTTCGATGTCATAATATTTCAAAATCTGCAGAGTGTAAAAAATGTGTTCTATTTGATATACTTTTTTGTGTGCAATCAATAAGTATGTAAATGTGGCCACTCTAATTAAAATGTAAGGTTCATTAAGATAACATATTTAAATCTATAATTTCAATAAATATAAAAAATATAAATGATAATAATAATAATAAAAAACTAAAGAATTTAATTGGTGTATTATTGATATCAAAATAAATCAATTTGAATATGAAAAAAATTAATTTATGAGATCTATCATACCCTTATGTATAAATCCATTCATTGTTTATGATTAATGTGTTTAAGTTTATTAACTCACATTGTATGTAAGAGRCATTGCCTAGTTTAATGGATCTAAAATAATAAGGATATATTATTGGTAAACCTTTTAAGTCTTAACCATTGATTAGATTCTTAGTCCTAAAATTTTTTTTATCTTATGAGATGTATTATATGTAATGAATTGATGTGGCGAAGAGAGTGAATGCAATAAGGTGGTCACAATAGGTATGTCACTTTCTGAATAGTTGTACAACTTAATATAATCATACACTTTTAAACTATAATGTAAACCATATGTAAATACAATGAAATKACAACTAATAAAAGCCGATGTAATGAAGATCAGATGAAAAAAAGCGGGTAAGTCGTGGATGTCGCTCTGCTGTACAGTAGGT